AAACAACTTCTCAAGCAATTAGCAAGGCAATGGTCTTTTAAAATTAAGTCTAATTAGGGCAGTGCATAAAACTTTCCTTGATAATGCGAATCAGAGCTCAATGTTATCATTTATTTGTCAAGAGGTTGGCTCTAGGGCTGGAGTTGATAATGCAACAATTGTGTACACAAAATAAGTAAAAGGGATTTAAGAGGATTCAAGAAAAACATCCCCTTACCACGATTGTACAATATAGTGTCCAGAAACCAAAGAATGGTTATAATGAATACATTCTCAAGCCTCTTTTCTCCAGCGTACGCCTTCAGTGCTATGGAGGTCTCTGTTGCACTGAGGCTCAGAGGTTAGAACAAACTAGAATGGTACAAGGGAGAGATGGCTTCTGTAGAATTTACAATATTGAATGCTCTCAAACAGCCACAAAGTTTAAGATTGCTTTGCTCTTTCCATGAGATTTGCCTTTTGCATTTTAGACGTTTTCTACATTAAAAAAAAAAAACAAAAGGCATGCACACATGATGCAGGTCCAGAAGTGCTCACTCAGAGTTCAGGCCCACACAGACAGGAGATTCGCTGTGAGGAACTTAATACAAGCACACTGCCAGGCTAAGAGGCCAGGGTTACCTTGGTTTTTCCCAGGCATGTGCAAACTTACAGTGACATCAGCAAAGGATCTGTCTGTCCACCACTCTAACCTACCCGTGTGGAACTGTGGAGCTGTTAAAAGATTAATTCATTTCCAAACACTGTGCGGGTATAAAAATAGAGAATACAAAGAAGTGTTAAAAAAATAAATTGCATAGGTTTCTGTGGGGCTATACTGGACTGCGTTCACAGAGCAGGGGGAGACCTGTACTGATTAGCAGACAATTGCGTTTTACTACAGGCATTCCTAATTGGCCAAGCCTGTCTCTGCAACTAGACTGGCTTGGGTCATTCAGAGCTTCTTGTAACAGGATTAAACTATAAAACAGTTCGTAGTAAGGAATGCTATGTTCTGAAGGGTACTGAAGCTGTTCCTATCACATTTACAAAATAAAAGCTTACGAATAAGAACAGATATTTAGCCACTCTTCAATAATGCAGTGGAAAGTCAATTATACAGAAGTAATTGGGACAAACAGTTGTTTGTAAGCTTCAGTTGTTTGGTTAATTAGAGATCCATTAAAGCCATTCTCTCTCCTTTCCAAGTGTGAAATGAATTCAGGCACCAGACTTTCTTCTGTTTTCTTCCAGTTTATTACAAACTTAGGGTTGGAAATTGCTTCTCTTCTATAAAAGCTTTTTGTGACCTCCAGTATGGCAGAATAATCTAAAGCACATAGAAACAGTAAACAAGCAGGTGTATCAATAGGAATGCACATCTGTAATCTGTGTAAACAATAAACTCTTGAGTATACACCATTAGAAAAAACTCAATCTTCAACTAAAATTGGAATAAACAGACTGATAAATACAGTCTTGTTAGAAATGTGCAGTGTTCTGCAGCCCTCATTGAAAATACCAGTATTTTTGGGGCATATTCTAAAATCTACTGTTATAAAAAAGTTAAATCAGAATGATCTCAATAAGAGCATACATATGAGAAAACTAGCTATACATTTAGATAGTTGTTAATGTATATACTGTAGATACCGTTATTCAAGCCAGAGGTCTATTTTAAACACAGATATCAAATGCTGAGTTGAGACTGTGTATTTTCCATGTGAAATTGGAAATAATAGTCTGTCACAAGGCAGACACTCGCACCTGGGCCTCTGTTCCCAGAAACCAATTAACAGTATGAACATACGAACTCCACACAACATCACAGGTTCAGAACCGGCCCCAGGGCCCCAGCACTGCAAGGCAACAATACAAACTACTCTCCCAGCATGCAACTCAACAGCAAACCAATGCCACTACTTTACTTTAATGTTTTCCTTCAATATAAGTAGTTTAGCACTATTGAAAGATTTTGCTATATGAGATGGTTCTGTGCCAATTCAGTAATACATCAACAAAAACAGTGGAACAAGAAAATGAGAGAACATATAAAAAGAATTTAAATAAATGCTGTGTACAGCTATTCCATATGACAGCATAAATGCCACTGCTACATACGCTTTATAAACAACAAATTGTATATCTGATGCCCTTTAAAGATATTTTTAGCATCTGCAGTTTTTCCTTCCTCCAAAATGCTTTACTTTCTTTCAAAGCATTTTCAAAGCAGGTACAAACAATAGGATTGCAGGAACAGTGACAGACATTGAAATCAAGGATATACATCAGTAGACCAAGACTGTTTTTCTTTCCAGCACAGTCACAGTGCAGCTCCAGACAAGACTCTCCCTGTTAGATTCTGCATTCCTGTGTCTGTGAGACGCATCTACTGCATTTTAGGTGTTGTTTTATCTGCATTTGCTTCAACCAGGGTGGAATACATCATATTTTTTTGGAAAAAGTACAAATAAATGTACATAAACATATGACTTTTTTGCATATATGATCATTTGCTCCTATCTCTCTTTCCATGATGTCACCCATCCATCCATTTTCGAACCACTTCTTCCAATTCAGAGTCTCAGGAGAGCCAGAACCTATCCCAGCAAGCAACGGGCACAAGGCAGGGCACACCCTGACAGGACACCAGTCTGTCACAGGGCACACAGACACACACACCAGGGCCAATTTTCCCAGAAGCCAATCAACCCACCAGCATGCCCATGGACTGTGGGACGAAACTGGGGAATCCACGTGAACACGGGTAGACCATACAAACTCCACACAGACAGCACCCCAGGTCCCCAGCGCTGCCAGGCAGCAATGCTAACTGCCATGCTGCTCTGCCACCTTCTCAGATAATCTCACAAATGTAATCAGGTTGGGAACAACTTGTGAACATGCACATCAGCAGGAGCAAGGATCTCATCAGCAGAGGCTCAGAGTTCACTGTTCTAATTAGTACTGTGATACAGGAGGCACCAGTGATTCACCTGTAGATTTAATAAGCATATTGACTGAAGCGCCAGTGCTGGAGTAGGTCTTTAACCACACTCCCCCACGGCCAGCAGCAGCAGAACCTGAAACTAGATAGGACACTTTCTAATCTGTTCTCGGAGTTCTTAATTCTTATTTCTTGCCAGAGTATATTTACGTTTGAAGCTACAATCACCGGTAAATAAGATATCTGCAGTCAGGATATAGTTTTTTCACCATATACAAGCACTATTAATAATATAATACTTATGTAATATTATATTATAATTTCAGTGATACAATGTCATGAAATGTTGTTGTTGTTGTTGTTGTTGCTGTTGCTGTTGTTGTTGTTGTTGTTGTTGCAAAAGTCGTTTTTCTTTTCTTTAACTTCTGCGTTGCGTCATAACGTCAACCACAACAACCGGTTGAAAGAAAACCTTCTGGAGGCGCTTAGGTAACCCTATATTTTCAGAGAAGGTACAATTACTGTACTAAACACCTGAAACGGAAAACAAATTCACTGTGAATCATTATACAGGAAACGACTCTTTCCGCCTACAGAGAAACCTATGCGTTTACAGTAGTTGAAACGATCGGAGACGCGAAACCACAAACTCAAATTGAAGACATCGGCTATTTCTCAACGCTGCAGCGTAAAACAACTCGACGATGGAGAGTTAAGGTTGCCGGGAGCACATGGATTTGAAAGCCTGTTTTCACATTCAGTCATGGAGATTAATATAAATACTCTCCCGTTCTCACAAGCTTAACTTCGTAATGAATGCAAAGCGCTGAACAAGTTCATGCTGCTCTCCGGTGAGCGCGGATCGCAGGCTTTCGGCACAGCGGGTTCAAAATTCGTCTGGGCTGCCCGGCTTGGGAAAGACCCCATGAACTGTTAGGACTCGAGCGTATAACTCTACGTGCACTGGAGAGTGTTGAAAATTAATTTTGAAAAGGTTCTTAAATGGAATTACTCCGCAGACAAAATTAACAAAAATACATGTTTTTAGTTTAAGTGCAACGTAATGAATTACTTACACTTACACATTTAGCGCTTTTCTGGACACTCCACTCAGAGCGCTTTACAGGTCACGGGGCTCCCCTCCACCTCCACCAGTGTGCAGCCCCACCTGGATGATGCGCCAGTACGCTCCCCACACACCAGCTCTCAGTGGGGAGCAGAGTGGTGAAGCCAGTTCAGAGATGGAGATTATTAGGAAGCCACGATTGGTCATGGTCAAGGGTGAAATTTGTCCAGAACGCCCCTACTCTTTTCGAGAAACACCCCGGGATTTGTAATGACCACAGAGAGTTAGGACCTCGGTTTTACGTCTCATTCGAAGGACGGCGCCTGTTTACAGTGTAGTGTCCCCATCATTATTTGCGGGCATTAAGACCCCACACAGACTGCTGGGTGAGCGCCCTCTGCTGGCCCCACTAACACCTCTTCCAGCAGCAACCTTAGTTTTTCCCAGACGTCTCCCATCTGGGTATAGACCAGGCTCACACTGCTGAGCTTCAGAGGGCTGCCGGTCTTGAGTTGCAGGGCGATATGGCTGCTGGAGTTTATTTTGTTACTGTTTTAGTAACAGATATAAGAACGCGGGTATGTACCTTGTGATAGTCTGATATGCCGTATCTAAAATCTAATTCAAGGTGAGCCTGCTGAACACTTCTGGAACATTGATTAGATGTCTCCGAGACCCTGGGTGGCAGCGCGGGCTGAAATGGATGAACAGATGATGCGAAACAACAGACTGACCAGCATTACAATCTTACTGCGGATCGTTCTTGTGCACCATTACAGCAGCCTTTGAGGGGATGAATAATGCTCAATTTACCCATTAATGTCTCAGAATTAAAAGCGCGTCCCGTCTTGTTTATCGCAGTAGGCCGCTCCCGACCACCTCATACGCGTACAGCGGGGCGTGGAAAATGAAAGCTTATCGTTAACCTCGTGATTAAAAAGCAAGCATAAAAAATAATTTCAAGGTAACTTCTCCCCCCTGTATAATTCACAATAAAAGGTCATGGTTTATTAGGAATACAGGATGAGAAAAAATCAGTTTGAACAGTGTAATAGTCGGGCGATACTTAAATTACAACAAAGGGTTTGCAGCGTTGAGCTGTAACTGCAGTGGGGCAGTGATTAAAATGCATAGGCGACACTCAAAAAACTCATGAGCTCTGCTCTTTTTCTGGTAATAATGGTGAGTAAGTAAAGATCAAAGCCCAGACGCATTGGCTTTAAGCGTAATAAAATGCCGGTAACAGTATAACATAAGATCCAAAAATATGGCAATGAAAGAAATTGAAATAGGCCAACAGACCTCTGAAATGACAAAGTTGCAGCTTACTACACAGAATTCAAATCGGAAAAGGATTTTCACCTGAAAACACTGTCGAACCAGGGCCCTTCAATGGGGCCTTTCAAAGAAAGAAAATGGTTTAAAATGATGTATTAGTGAAAGAGTGGAGACACTGGGAACGAGTAAGCAAGATGACTGGGTTGATCCTTGAAAGACGCTGATTGTCGAACCGAAGCCGTCGGCAGACAAGTTTCCATCAACGTCCGGGCCTGGGCTAGCGGTGGCGCGTCTCGGTGACAGCAGCTTTGACGATGGGCTCCGCCTGGATTCATTCGCAACAGGCGTAGGAAATGCTGCCCTGGTCCGTCGAACCACTTGCAGCATATAAGATTAATGATCTCATGCTGCTTCGAAAATGTACGAAATGGACAGAAGCTTAGAGGGATGAAGTCGGTCAGGTTGCAGGATCATTTTCTACACCGTTAAACGGTCTCCCCGCGCATAGCTGCATCATGAATCACCATGACGGCACGAAGGTGCTCTGGTGCTTTTTTGAGTTGTGTTGGTTTAGGCGCTTCCCAGCTTCACCAACAGGGCGGCGCAATAATGCCAGTCCGTGCGCGGCTCCAACATTCCCTTCTACTCTCCTACTCTGTAGCTGCTCCTGGCAGCAGCGTCCTTGTGCCTTACAGCAAACAAGGAGCATCACTGCAAAATAGCATTTCCGAGGGAATGCTGTACTAAAAGAGCAGTGACCTAAATGCATCGGGATTCAGGCTCAAGCGAAACGGCTTGATAGTGTCAAATTGCTGGCAATTCCGAAGTATCCAAGGTGTGGTATTGTGCATCTTCGTAACAGCATGCACACACACCCAGAGACGGTGATGTAAGATAAGAGGCTGTGCGAACTGTTGGTACAGAAGACGGTATATCTGTACAGCCACTTAAGCATCTCCTGAAACAAACAGCAGAGAATCTCCCGGTTAAACTGACTGACAGGGAGAGAGGTGGAGAAATAGACAGTGAAATGAAATCAATCCAACCTTCAGCGCTTGAGTTCTGCCGTCTACCTCCCAGCCTAGAACAAAACGCCTCTGACACATTGTGATTTATTTTCCGACGTTAGCAAGTGAAGGAACTATTAGCCGCGTGTCTGTAAGAGGCCTGTTTCTCTGTGTATTTCCGCCACCAGCTGGGAGCTCGGGGTGTTTCGGAACTGATCTAGTTTCAGCACCACTTAATAAGTGAAAATATCTCCAGTGCTTTGCTGACGTGTGTGGGATATGACATTTGGCTGGAGGGGGAAAGCGGAGGAACAGAACTGTCTTGTGTTTCTTATTTGAGTGTGTTCTCATGGGGCCCCGGCATCATTCACAGCCCGTGTGGAGTCACCTCTCCTTTCTCCTCCTGCTCTGGGAGCAAAGGTGGCACATCGACTGATCTTTGTGCATTGCATTAAGGGAGTAGCGGTAAATTACAAGATCAAAACCTCTCATTTGTGGCGAGATAGCAGGAGGAATTAAAGAGTCAGAGACGAGAGCTTTCAGAACTAACTTGTAGGTTTTTCCACACTTTGTAGGGTCTCCCTTTATATCTGTCAAAAGTCGCAAAATTTCATTTTGTCTCACGTCATCTTTCACTCACAAAGAATTATGCGTATAGGCGTTTTTTCTACGATTTAAGTGCATATTGCGATTGTCTCTTTGTATGATTAATATCATGCACAGGACAGGGGACGCCGGTCGTGTTGGCTTCACTTTGACACCAGAGGATTTTGTTAAAAAGCGTCAATATCGCACATTCATCTGTTTTTGTCTGGGCTTTAGTGACGCATAAGGACGATGCTGCCGGGACAGCCAGTCAGCAGGAGGGACAGACTGATGCAGGAGAAACGTGGAGGGGACGCACTCAAACACCGACGTGACTTGAACGGTCCGCCTGCGCTTTCAATAAGCCGCGATGCTGAATGTCTATGCTGGGCTCGCAAACTCAATTCCTGGAGTAGACCAGGGGCTACCGGCTTGTGTTTCACCTCATCCGTCAAGTTAAAATGACAGTGTCATTATTTAATACACTGCCTGATAGCCATGTGCTTTCTAAGCAAGCTCCGAGGTGTTTCGTACGTACCTGTACCACCTTTGAAGTGAATGTTTTTTGAGCAATTAGAAAATGATACATTTTTAAGAAAAATACATGATCACATTAAGAAAACAGAATAATTGCTTAATTGGCTACCCATGTTGAAGAACAAAATAGAAAACAGTCGCCCCCCTGCAGAAACCGAGTTTGAATTTCCGTCTAGACTTTCAGCACCTCGGACAGCTCCCCGCCTTTCCGCTGTTCACAGCCAGGCAGCGCCACTCGGCTCGACGCCTGTCACGCTCGAGGGAAAGTGAGCCGTCCATCCATTCAAGGTCGCGGGCAGCGGACGCAGGGCGGGGTACGCTCTGGACAGGATGACACACACCAGGGCCCAATTAAGACCAGTATGTCTTTGGACTGTGGGAGGAAACCGGAACACCGAGAGGAAACCCACATGAGCACAGGGCGAACGTACAACCATGTCTTTCCTCTTCTAATGCCATCTCCCTTCCCGCTGAACACACCGTGCCTCACGGATCTGTAATCATTTTTTGAAACTATATTGAAAAACAGAATAAAACAGGGAGATTTCTCGTTTTTCTTAATGAGACATGAATTCGTCTAAATGATTGTATCTTGATCCGTTCTAGGGGTTTCATATCGGCACTGTAGTCAAATGTCCTACTGTCGTGTCTAAAACAAGCCCTATCCAGGAACAAAATGGCCGTGTGATTTCTCAAAATAATTGTAAAGGTTTGTTGTTTACCTTGACAGCATACTCCTAAATAGCTCTAGGAGAGGCATAATGGCTGTGAAATCATAAGCTATCAATTTGGGAAAAAATAATAAAGTACCAATAAGAGTTTAGTCACCATCCTCTGGAATTAATGATTTCCAAAGTTTACCATTGTAAATATTGACATGATCGGTTTAGAATTCCTGCCTGTGCTGTACTTTTCTAGGGTTTTTATTTTAATGACTCTTAGGGGTCAGGAAAGGTCACACATTCATTTTCCTGTATTAAATATCTATATACAGTATAAGATATGCATCTTAGGCTTATAGAAGGCATTGCAGGGACCAAAACACAGCACCTAGATGGGGGATAAACAACAGTCTTGGGGGGCTTACAACTAATAGCTCCTTCAGGTCCTTCTATATCTACATCTTCTAAAACTCTATGAAAGTTTGTTCAACTGGTCAAATTTAAGCCGGTGATTTTAGGGATCCGATCAAATTAGGGATCCAAACTGCAACAAAATCTGCTGAGGTAGCACCTGTGATCTAGAAATATATTAGTTTTTAATCAAAATAAATAATTAAAGTTAAAAGATGATGCATGCAGTACCTGCTTGCTTTACTCAAGACCTGGGAGGTGTAAAAGATCTGTCTCCTATTCCTGTTTTTATTACATGTATGGATAAGCTTGTGTGTGTTTTATAACTCTATTACATTTTTCATACACACACAAATAAGCCAATTACATCGTGACACATAAAAAACCTATTCAAAGAAAAGAGCGCGTTTGATGCAGGCAGAAGAGAGCAAGCCGGAGTGAGGGAATCACATTGAAATGAACTCTGATTAATACATGTTGTGGTTCTCACACACTCGTTATACTAAGAAAACGATCGTTTGCAATGTGCTGGAGGTTAAAGGTGATCAATATAGTTCAAAGGAGTGGCCAAATGTGAAATGTTTGAGTGGATCCATGCAATGTAAATTGGATTTTTAAAACTATATTGTATTTAATCCCCCAAGTCAATGAGGATGGGACAGTGGGTCAAGTTGCCTCTAATTAATCATTTAGCCAATAAGGTGGCAGAAGCACCACACTAAGGCTGCTGACTTGAAAGATGAAATATCACTAGGAATCGTACCAAGCAAAGCAGTGACTGGGTGCAGGTCCGAGGAAATCATTAATATCGGAAATAAAGACTCATAAGTTGAGGCCCAGAAAGGATCTGTCCAAACTGTATGGATAAGAGAAGCTTTAGAGTGCTTGCAAGACACAATTTGAATCTATCTTATATAAATACATTTTGAGTTTTGGAAAAATGCAGTCCACTCAAAAGAATTAAAAATATTGGAAGAGTGCAGCCTTAAAAGAAAGGAACCATGCTCCTCATCTGAAAGGGCAATGCTAAGAACCGATGTCTTCATGCATCCAGAGAAGTAGGATGTTTTAGAACTGACTCCTCTGTTGCTCTGTAATAAGGATTCAACTGGAGAATGAACAGGCATTAGTGGAAAGTAGCTAACCTGCAAAACCTCTCAACTGTAAGCGTTGGAAAGTAGAACAGATGTATTGGACAGCTGATCGAAACAAGCCAACCAACGTCCAATCGGTCTCAGCATGGTGATCCCACCAGGGGCCGGAGTCCCGTCCAGAGTGCACCCCACAGTGCGACCACTGCTTGCTGGGATAGGCTCCTGCTACCCCACAGCCCCGAACTGGAAGAAAGTGAACAGATGGATGGATTCCAAGGGTGAGATGCTGGATATTCCGAAGGCGAGGTGACAGATCGTGTCACTTTAGTTCCTTGAATTCAAACTCAGTGTGCCAGAATATTCAATGAATGTTGCAGAACAGGAACAGGGGGGTGGAAGCACACAGAGGATCAGCCCAATGTAAAAACCATCAAGAGACATTTTTTTCTTCCTCACTGGAAGGACACTCGAGAGCTTGTCAGGCAATATCTGATGACTGACACATAAGCACAGCTTCCAGACTTCTCAGCTGTACTGGACAGCCGTAGATGATGGACCTGGGTAACTCCTGTACTTTTTAAACTCTCCTCCCTTTCAGCTCTGGAAATTAACTGCCTATTTAGCATCATTCTGCCCTGTGACCGCATTATTCTGTAAGGTCCATATTTATTTGTTTCTGTGACCCACATGAAATGCTTTCAACATCTCAGGTGTCCAACAGTGATGTATCACGTCAGCGCTGATGAAAAGGTCACATTACAAAAGTGCAATACCTGTGCAGTGCCAATTACAGTGAAAATATGCACATTGAGCAGTAAACCTTGCGTAGGCAAGTAATCCTTCATTTCAATGGGTAGTAAAAGGTGACCAGGGACTGAGGGGCTGTGATTTTAATGGGTAGTTAAAGGTGATCAGGGACTCAGGGGCTGTGATTTCAATGGGTAGTTTATTCCATCACTGCAGATCCAGGGATGATAGTGAACAGGCCCGGGAGGTGGGGGACTGGAGAGGAGGAACAGGCAGAGAAAGATGAGGGACTGGAGACAGACTGAGACAGATTATGCTGGTTAAGACCACAGTAGGCAACACTAAGTGATTTGAGGCAGTTATGCAGCTATCAAGATTCAACTGGGGAACTGGAATAATAGTGTATCATGATAGAATTCAGGCAGAGATTAGCACAAAAACAAAGCAATATGAGCAACTTATTACAGACTGACCTACACCTGCTTTAGAAACGCTGTATAACTCTGAAAGCAGCATGATGTGAATTAGACTACAATCAGTAGAAGCTTTAGAATCCAAGCCTTCTCACACAGAATCAGTGTCAATCACAATAATACAAAAAGCAAGATCTATCTGTGAAAGCAATATCTGGCAATGGGATTAGGTATCTCATAAATGGTGAGTCAGTGACAATGATATTTGGCCCAGCTATTCTAATATTGGTACTGCACCTACACTTGGATCCTATAGGTCAGAAGCATAGACAAATGCACCAGGTTATAACATACAGAACTAGCAAACAGCTGAACTGGGAACATTAGAGGGTTAGTCTCCACTGCAGTGGGAGTCATTATAGGACCAAATAAGACTCTACTCTGTCTCTTCATAAATGCATGAATGATCAATGGAAGATAAATGAAGGCCTTATCTTTAACCTCAACAGCAGGGCTCTGTAGACATTTGTGGTAGTTGATGGCCTACCTTTAGAACAGATTGACATGGCCTTGAAAAAATATGGATTCGCAAGACAAAGTATAAAGACCTCTATCAAAATGGAACCCACATCAAGATTACAAGGCCCTTTCTAATGGCATGCTCATAATAAAATATCCATAAGATAAACCATTAATAAAAATGAACACGCCGGATAGTTCTTAGCGAGGCAGTACAAGAAACTGTGCACAAAGCTTGGTGGTTCTATTTGTATTCTCCCAGCGCAAACCGTGTTGTCCTTGGTTACAAATTCAAATTCAGGGCTGAAGCCTGTTCAGTAGCTTGCATACACATTCTTCTTTTTCCTGCAGTTTTAAATAAGAAGAAGTGTTTGTGTCAAGTGCATGACAGCACCTGCGGTCGGACACACAGGATCTTTAGCCTTCCTACATTGAAACCTTACAGACACTTACCTTGCAGTTTTGGTAGTTTTCTTAACAATACACACTCTTTCAGAACAGACTTTCATCGAGCTACATATCCACTTCTCGATACCCGGATGCCACAAGAACCGGCTTGGGAACATTTAAAATAGTGAAATTTAAACCGCAAAAGTGAATCTTTTTTTCTTGCTTGCCTCCTACAGTAATTCTTTGCTTTTTATGCTGTTCCTCAGAATGAAGCTGTTATTTGCATCTTGACCCTCTTTACCCAGTTGCACAGACAGCCGTACGGCAAACGGATGTTTCCTGCTATATGAATGGGGCAGGTGGTATGGCAGTGCACTGGTCAGCATGGCTGTCTCACAGCGCCGGGGCTCTTGGGTCTAGGCTGGACCTGGGGTGCTGTCTGGGTGGAGTTTGTATGTTCTCCCCATGTTTGTGGGGTTCACCCCGTCTGGGTGTTCCAGTTTCGTCCGGCGGTCCGAGGACATACTGGTAGGTTCAGGGATTCAATTTTCTTTTGTTATATACTGTATCTCTGTGTGAGTATATATATATACGCACAGACAGACTTGTGTATGTGTTCAGAACTCAGCTTCAAACATGTCTTGAAGTCTGGAAGTCATGGCAACCCTTTAAAGAGATATCACCTGCTTAACAAGGCACAGCGAAAGTTTGAATGTGATTTTCTTAAGCATAAGTTGATATAATCCACTCTCAAAAGTCCCCGTAACACCGAGAGAAGCTCGTTTTCTTCTGTCGTAGTAAGAATAACTACTTCGAAGATTAGTTCTGATGTTTTCTAGCCTAGGATAAGAGAAAAGGGAAAGGATGAAATAGCCTGTAAACTACTTCTGAGATACACCGTTGGCGGTTATCACATCGAGGATTTTTTTGGGTAAAAAATCTATCTCGCGTACAGAGGGTGCATTAATAGCCTTTGCAACATCCATTTCTCGGCTCTGATTGTGAGCAGGTTAGGGATGGATGCTGCTATCTCTGGGGACGCCCTGGCCAGGCGAGCTAGAAAATGAATATTTCTCACTTCACTCATCGGATCATCTGCCCCTGGGAGCGAGAGCGCCCGTTTTATAAGAGCTATAGGAGAAACTGCGGTTTCTTCCCGTAAGAGGTCGACTAGTTGCGGCCACAAGTTAATCTGTCAAATATCTGACATACTGCAGCTATCAGGCTTTTCAAGGTATGCGAAATCATGGAAGGAAAGGTGAAGATTAATCACTCCGGTTCAGACTAAACACATTGAGGAATCTCTCGTATAAATCCAGATGAAATGAAAATACTTTCAGAAAAAAAAAGGTGTGGGTGCTAAAAATTAAGCAGCACGAAATTGCCGAGGATGTAATAATCAGAGGAACAGTCGAATTTAAGAGAGGCTGTAACCGAGAAGGTATAATTCGTTTATCTTGCTCGCTCAGTTACCGCAACCAGCTCATAGGAAACCAACAACAGATCCGAGTGTTTCCGCGAGGCTGGTTTAGATTAGACAAAATATTTCATTTGATGTATTGCGACGCCATGGAAGTGTTCATATATAATGTTGCAGTTCTGTTGTTTCAGAAGACGTGGTGTGGTTAGTGGGGTAGTTGATGCCAGAATACTCGGCACGTCGGGGTAGCGTGCTCCAGACACCCCCTCCTTCTGATCCAGTAACCTGCCTGTGCGGACTCTGGGTCCCAGTCCGCTAATCCACGACCTCCGGCGTTTTGAATACTTACAATCAGTCTAAGTGTCCACTGAGACTGGATCTAGTTTTTACACCGTGTATGAGGAAGATATAGAAGTTTCGCATAACAGGCTTACTTTTTTCTTTCGGTTTGGACACGTAGAAGAACGTTTCGGTAATTTCCGCTCGAAATGTCCACATTACTGAGATCTCAGGCGCGATACAGGCCTACGGGAACAAGAGGGGGGAAAAGCATCCTTAAACTCCAGTCGCAATTCTCCCGAGCCAGAAGAAAACTAAATTTTTGCTCCAATTTCTGTACAATCTTATTTGTAAACAATACGAATAAAATCAAATCAATACGGACAAATATGGCAAATACAATGCCATTCGGGGTACCAAGCTCGGTTTTTACTAGCTAAGGATCACATCCAGCCTTTTCTTTAAAAAAACCCAGGGTATTATCTCAACAGCTTGGCAGATCAGTGTTTTCCAGAACACCACAACGTCTCAAGTTCAACAGTTTTTCATTTTCAATGTATTTCAGTTAGTTATCATTTGTTATCAACTTAGTTATCATTTGTATTTGTTTGCTCTTGATGTTCACCTATTTCTTGTAGAAGCCGCTAAATTTGGTCAGTTGGGGTTTCCGGAACTTCCATATATTAAAGGCACCAATGATAAAATAGTCAAATACCTCTAAAACTGTTCCACAGCAACCATCCAGGTTAAAGCTACGCTCCTCTTTAGAGGTTGAAATGCCGAGTTTTACCGACAATCGGTGAACAGCTTTGTACATTGCAGTCGCTCAGAGGCTCACAAATGTGATAGATAATTAACAGCTGGGGTAAAAGCTGCATTGTTGTCATGTTTGTGCAGAGCTCTGTGGGAGAGTCACCTGTCTGGTCATCACACTGTAATTGCTGGCTCCTGCTGGAACATTGATCATCCACCAGGTCACGCTTCTGACAAATTAAACCGCGTTTTGAAAAGCACTTGGACTGCATACTGTCTTTATTTCTTTCAGGAACGCAACTAGCGTCGATGGACTCGGCGTACAGTACGTGTTCGTTAAGACTTGCAGGTTCGGTGTGAGGAACAGGAAATGTGAGAGAAATATGACGCCTGTTTCCCCCTTCTTTAACTGAAGCGTTGTTTTCCTGCCCGCTCCAAAATCAGACGGTTTTCCGTCTGACTCGTGTCCTTTTATGCGCCATGAAAGTAAAGCATATCTAAGATGTTTTGTTTTCGACTTATGTTGTTGATTAAACCAAACAAAGAGCAGGGAAGTTACCATGTGTGGAAAATCGAAGCCGACGGTGTCTCAGCCCGAGCGCCGGATATGAACGCGCCTGGCACGCGCCGAGGGGAGGAGGCTCGGGACGCCGCTTCTCAAGATTGCAAATTGGATCTCCCGTCACCTAATAAGACGAACAGTAATCAATTTAATACATCCCGCAACTGCGACCCAGCAATTTTCATACCCGATGCTGGCTGAAAAACAACATTCTCCTGATACCTTATTCCCTGCCTGCGTACGGACAAGAAATAACTATGAGGCTGCTGACTGACGCTCAAATAAATACTGTAGCGCTATTAGCAGGCGGCTGTGACAACAGTGACTGCTCTGAATAATCAGACTTGCTTCTGTTGGATTACTCCAGAGGCGCGCACGCTGTCTCGGTAGATGTGCGGTCCAGCGCCGCTCTTAACTGCACACCCGGCCTCACTGACCCGCCTGGACACTCGCTCCCCAGTCGGGCCGGAGACCGAGCTACTGTACCAGACGGTTTGCAAGAGCAGCTCAGCGGGATGGTGACCCCACCCTGGAGGCGCGCCTGACGGGCCCGCACGCCTCGGCACCTCTGTCCCCACGGCCGTGCGGCCTCAGGGAGGGGGTCCGGGGTCCCGGGTCCGACACGGGAGGGCCCAGCATTTTGAACAGGGTACCGCGCTCGAATTGCTCCAAGACGACCGATTATACACATTGAAGTCGCTGTGAATAAATGAATCGATCAAATAAACTCATTAAAAGTAATAGGTGTATCCCGTCAGCCGCATGTAGTGGTATGCCGCGATGGCGATCTTACAGCTACAGCTTTTACTAGTGTACAAGCACCGTGCGATAGCAGACGTACTCAAAGTACTAAAAGAAGGCCATGAACGGGGTATCTGCAACAGGAAAGTTTAAAAGAGTAGTTGCAACTTTTTGCCTGACAGCACTTGAACCCTTTTACATGGTCGATCCAAGCTCGGAAAGTATTGTCGCAGGTGCAGCGGCGCTCAATGCAATCGTGCTGTAGTGTAATTGTACAGCTACCGGCCGGGCGGTGCGTGACTATAACGGGCTCAAAAAAGCTTTCGTCAGCATGTACTTAAGCAACGGGTAAGTACCATAATGACAATTACATTTTCTAGCTAGGCACTTTCTTCATTTGCAATTAAATGGATCTGTTGTACCACGGGCGGTTTGAATTAATACCTTGTGGTTCACGTTTTTAATACACGCAGCTCGGATTTTATGGCTATTTGAAACATAAAGACAGACGATATCTTGTCCGAAGAGGACTCTAAATCAAAACTTTGAGAGGGCACTATGAAAATCCCAGGCAATCGAGGAAAAGCTCAAGGGAGTGTACAGCGTCCGCTTCGCTGCGCCGCGGAGGCTCAGATTGAGGATGTCGCTAGAGACCTCTACTGGAGAAACGGAGAACTACACATTTTCCCCCTTTTTGTATTGGCCATGATAGTAACTAAGACCGAATAACATCGTAGACAGAATTATTTCTTTTACATATTATTAATTCTTTTTGGATTGTGAAAATGAACATATTCTAGCAAAAACAAACTGCGCTTGTGATTAATATCACATATCCTTGGTGTCAGTCCTCATTTGCTGTATCTTATCAATGTTAATGTTATTAACAAGGTAGTCTGAATTCAATTTTCAATTCAATTTCAAGTTTAGGGACTTGAGAGGAGTAGAACTCAAATACATGCAAACGCAGGGAGAACATACAAACTCCACACAGACAGCACCCCAGGAACTGAACCCAGAGCCCCAGCACAGTGAGGCAGCAATGCAGACCCACCCACCTCCTTCCTAATGTGCTGTGAATCTGCACAGGCAGAAGTGATGTTCGGGATTACACAGACACGAACACGACTTGATCTCCTCTTAGAAGTCTTAGAATTGCTCCTGATCAGCTTCGGGAGGAAGCACCTGTGTGGGCATCAGTCTGGACAATATCACAGGGCTGGCCTGTGGTCAGGTTTTGTACTTACTCACTCTTTTGCTCTTGGGAAGCCTCTTCAGGACCTGCCTACTGTATGCAGCACTGTGGTCCAATATGAGAACAGAGCCAAATCAGTGAAACGGTCCATTTCTGACACAGGCACAGTGAACAGGGAACAGATGGTTTCAAGTTAGTCAAGTCAATAGAAGGAGAGTGGGCAGACTTCTAAACTGTAATGGTTTAGAATTTGTAATGCTAAAGAATCCAAATGTGTTCATCCTTCAGAAAAGCGAGTCTAAGCTAAGAAAAACAAATTCTCACTGATTTTCTGGAGACAACAAAAATAAACAAATAGACACAAGAGAGCAGTCTGCAGTTTCAAAGACAGAAACAGAGTGTACTGAGCTACAGACAGAACTGGAAAAAAGATACCTGATTCCAGAAGAGAGGGAGAAAGGCAGAGAGAAGCAGGGGATTTTAGCAGGTTAAAATACTGCAACAATTCTAGAACATCAAGAGAACTGTATGAGGTAAACTGAAATGTTTAAGGCTAATAGGGGAATAATGATAGATTATGAAAAATAAATAGTAAATGTGCTAAAGAGAGATTTTCACAAAAAAAGATGTCAACAGATAAGTCATAAAAGAAGCTCCATCAGTGTGGAATTATCTTAACATAAGTGACACGGGGTTTAACAGGAGCTCAAAGCGATTGATACATCAGCAAGGAAATAAGGGGTGTTTTTAACACACTTTTAACTAGTACATTTCAACTGTCACTAAGGATGGGACATGTACCACAGGACAGAAATGAACCAGAGTTATTATTTAGTTGTATTCCATTATTATTAATTATAAATTATAAAAAACTCCAAGTTAAATGCTGGTATAATTATTGAATTAACTGCATCACTGTGAAAGTTCTAAACAGGTCCCTGTTATAGACCAGGCTGTCTTGCGTCTGATACCTGAATCCGATTTTTAAATGAATGGCATTTAAGAGCCACCCAGCATGATTCTGGACAGGCAAGGTCTTGTTTAACTAGCTGATGATAATTATTTGAACAAACTACAAGGAAAGTAGTTGATCCACAGGCACAGCTACCAGTTGAGATGTTTTTTTTATTTTAAGAAAGTGTGGTATTAACTGCCACCTGTTTCTTCAAGGACATTTGATGCCTATTAAGAAGATGACAATGTATTCAGATTTCCAGAAAGCTTTTATGGAGGTTATCTCATAAAAGACTAATTCACTAATTAAAAATGCAGCAATCCAAGGTATTGTAACCTCACTGATTAAAAACTAGTTAACAAAAAGGCAACAGTAGGGCATAACCTCTGATTGAAGCAATGAAAACAGTGGTGTACTGTGTACCCTCTTTGCTCTCCTGATCTATATCTGTGATTTAGATTCTAGTATAGTTGGCAAACTAGTAACATTTGCACATGAAGAAAAAGTAGGGAGAGTATCAAACATAAACAGCATGTCATGTTTAAGAGGTGCAAAGTGGAATACTGAAATTTTGCAATGCTTTATTAGAACCTCACTTAGAAGATTAGCTTAGTTCTGGTTATACGAGTACATAAAATCTACAGCCTTGGAAAAAGTTCAAAGAAGAGCTACAAAAAAAGCTTAGTTTTAGGAGACGGTTAAATATATGTTATATATAAATATCTGAGTACAGACTGTAACATCCTAAGGGATACACACAGGGTCATCATAAGGACTCAATAGTGAGAAAAAGATCAGTCCTGGAACGTAAGTGTGGGTTTGTTTAGGCTAGAGAATAGGAAAGACATCTTAACACAAAGAGTGTTGGATATTTAGAAGTTTCTGGGCTCCTTCAAAATGGATCTGAATTAAATCCTAATTTTGCTTTGCTGCTCCCCAATAAGTCAGATGGACTGAATGGTCCCCTCCTGTTTGCAGCGTTTCTCATTTTATTTTAACATGAAATCTAGATTATTGTGGTTTATCCCTCAGTTTGTACAGTAAAGGACTGCAGCTGCGGACATGGACTCGGATATAAGGGAGGTCTTCCTATGCGGTGGTGTGGATGAGCTTGGAACCCAGATCAGATCAATCAAGAAGATTTTTTCAGACACAGATGTTGAGAGAGGCAGAGCAGCAGCTGGGTGGGAGGGAGAGCAGTCTGGGCAGGCTGGCACTGGCTCTTAGCATCGCTTGCCAGCTCAGCTCCTGACCCGCCCACTCGAACCTTTTACAGCGAACCCGACAAGCCAAGATAAAACACCAGGCCTCGGACTACAGCTGCAGGTCCAAGAGAAGGCCAAGGCACTTACACAGAGTCTCGCGCACAGGCGTGTGTCTTTCACGTTGTTAGACTAATGGGCAGGCCAAGGTCCTGACTGCACAGAGACTAGGGAAGGGAAGCCAGTCAGTGCCACACCACGGGCCTGGCCCTACCGACAGCACAGCACAGGAAGCCTGTCTCCAGGGGCCCCACGAGCTGGATCTCTGGCTCCTCCTTCGGGGAGAAATCCTCCGAGAATAACCCAGAGAAAGTCCCTCTTCAAGAGTCTTTGAGGATGGATTGTAAAGCTTTTTACCCTAAAGCACAAAAGTGCTCCACGTTAATTAAAGGTGCTTTAAAAATGTAAACAGATCAGATCAAGCACGCAGCAAAGGCAATGCCTTTTTCACACCAAACCCATTCCGGAATTTTAGCCAGGAATCATTTGGACTTTTTAACAGCCAGAGCAAATAGTGAAAGGGAGTAACCAGCTGCACAGCTTGTCCTGTAATCCAGCAGATATTTTGAGGAAGATGGAGTCCAAGCTGTTCACAATACCTGGGCAGCACATGCATCTCCACTGGGAATGCTGATGTCATTCATGCATTGGGTGTTCTGTACTTCATAAGGGAAAGGACGCTACCACACAATATTAAATGTCACTTATGGTTTGCTATATAAATTCTTTCAAATAAGGACATGTATCTATTTAAATAACTACCTAATGTAGTTTTTATTGACTTGCTTTCAACTGCTCCTTCTGGAAATTCTTAATAATTCCCCGTTTATGATTGCACAGTGCTTACAGCACATTGTATAAATTGAGCCGATGCCTAACAGCTGTGAGTTGTTTTTTTTCCTCTTTCCTGTTGCATCTTGCAAATAAAATTCGAAATTCAAAATACTGCATTTTTTAAAAGTAATTTTTTTCAGCTCTGCTCTGCCAAGTTAGAGCCCTGGAACATCTGTTCTCCATTCTCCTCACTGTTCCAAAATAACAAAAGCACTTAAATCGCAATCAGACAGAAAAGCTGCAGAATTTACTGCTTCACTGCACTGTGATCACACACAGGGAGACAGGGTAACAAATAGAGTACCAGCTCAGGTGTGTGCCTGCGGTCCACATTCTCTCATTCACACAGGCTGTGGTGGAACAGATCAATTGCACAGTAAAAGGATCTCAGCCCAGTGATACCATTACAGTACTTGTAACAGCATTTCAAGGATATAAATGTTATACATGGTCCTGGGGGCATCAGCTCTCATAGGGACATCATACACAGACTGAATTCCAATCTCTTTTGCTCTCTCTCAAACAGAGCAGGGG